TTAAAAGAATCACTCTGTATACGATTATATATGCATGTATACACTATACACTTATATTAATATTATACATGCACGTATTCTTGTAACTAGAATTTAGTTTGCTAAAACAAAAATCAATCACGTAAAAAATCCAAATCTTATTATAACATGACATTTTAAATATAACTGTAAGTTTATGATATTATAATATTATGTGCTATTAATATTCAATTATGTTTAAACTCCATCGTTGAAATTTTTATGAGTGTGACGTTTTTATTTTTGAACTCGTGAAAATTTTTTACATTTAAGATACCAACGTGCAGTTGTATACCCTCAAGGGCGTACTAATACGTCGATCGGGGGTGTCACTGTCATTCTTTTTTTGGTTTTTTTTGTCTATTGACCTTTAATCAACACAGAAAAATAACACTGTATAAGTTATGTACAGTTGAAATAAAAATGCATGTTTTCAATATTATTTTCAATATTGCATATAAGATTTAAATTGATTGATATATTTTATTGTTTTTTTCTTAACGTGGTTTGCTAATATTTCGAAAGTTTTCAAAAATGTCGAGCATGCTACTGAAATGCACTCAACTAACATAATATGAATTGTGATAAAATCACTTAAAATTAGTACACATAATAGTTCAGGTATTTAAAAGTTTTTAGCAAAGTTGTTTGTAATTGATAAACGTTGTTTCATAAAATAATATTGTACTTATATATTTTGTGAGTCYTAAAGATATTATTATAAAATGCATATATAAATAATGGCTCGCGGCGTTTTACCGTTTTCTCATTAAACTAACTCAGATAAATGGTGGGTCAACCTGCACATTTAAAGATAATAAACAAATCATATAGTAAATGGCATGGCGTTCAACAAAGATGAATCTACTATCGATATCAYTGCTATAATATWATATTATTATTGCCGTAGTGGCCWTGCCTCGTTGACTGGCCTTGGRATCTTCATATACACTCGTAATTGTTGATAGACAACGAAATGGTAGCTCTATCCAATAGCGTACATATAAAAAAGAAATTGGTGTTGCCCAAATAATGTTAAATGACATACCTACCTTCCATAATATTGTTATACTTGCCAATGAAACGTCAAATTTTGCTAATTTCAATATTTATCCACTCTTATTAACTTCAAGGCGATGCTTGAGAAGCACTTGGACCCTATATATGTTGCACATCATTGGTGCTGTCTATTAATTTGTAAATTATAACATACACTATCATATTATTATACCATAGGCTAAAGTAAATATGACRGCATCTACTCTGACCATTCGATTAAGAGCAGTTGTGGCGTATACCAGATCTTTATTAAYACGTGTGCTCACCATCATCAGTCACGTCCAAATAAATCAAATTAAAATCAATTAACTAGGTAAAAGTTGGCGCCTAGTTGGTGTACTGATAAAGTACAATTTTTTTTTTCGTTTTGAACTGTTTGCTTAAATATATTAATATACATATTTAAGCACGTGTTACATTTGATTGTAAGAAAAATATTGTGTTACAACATTAATCATTAAATTATTAAACACGTCACACAATACGTATGTTATGGCGCCCATCAACCGTCGCGACAAAGTCGAAATAATATGACTTGTACAATATATAATAATAAAAAAAAATTACACATAAAAATAATCATAATATTGTAACGATGCGTCTTATGAAATATGACACCTCGATTTGAGTGTCGTATTTCAATGAGAAAATAGGGAGATGATGATACTAATACTGAATATTTATTCTGCGAATATTTCTACTGTCATAATATATTGTATTTTTTAATAATATCTCCAAGTGCGGTCTGTGATATGAAATATTTCTTTTGCCTATGTATACTATATAGTATTTTTTAATGTATGCAAGAAAAATATAGTATGTTATATATTATATAATATCTATCTATCACGTAGGTTAGGTTATTTTGATGGTGTAAATGTGTGGACCGAATTTTCGTCAGAATAGGTAGTGCCTACTATATAATATAATTGTATAATAGTACGCCTTCTTACGTAAAATGATTACATAATATTATGTTATTGTGCATTTCAAAAAAAAAAAACCTTAACATAATTTTAATTTATATTCCAAACATTTTCTAAAGTAAATACACTTAATTTTGTTATTCTTGGATAAATATATAATATAGAATAATATATTAAAATATAAAACATCAGTGCATATCTTCATCGATAGGTAGTATAATGACAAATTGTATATACCTAAATACAAAAAGTTCTAAAATATTTTTCTGATTTAGATCTAATACCAACTATATTTTTTTAAATTAAATAGTTAAAAAGTAATTACGTATACTGCAGTCTGCAATAATAATTAATTCCTTTAATTTATGTTGAATGTTATCATTGCATAAAGTCGATTAAACTATCATAAATTGAAAATTAATTTTTAATTACTATTTGCTTAAATTATTTATAATCTTGACAAATGAAAATCTGATAAACACATTAAATTTAATTGTATTGAAAAAACATGGTATTATATTATATCAAAATGAAACATGGTAAAAGAACAACTTTACTGAAGATGTTTACTTCACATAAATTCATTTTCTTGTTTACCAAGGATTTTTAATAATTAATAAAATAAAGTTTATATTTATAGATATTATTGAATTTATGTTTAAGATTTTTT